AAAAAAAAAGAAGGTTAAGTTGTTTTGTTTTGTTTCTTTTTTGCTTTTATTTTCACCGACTGATTTTGTTTGATTTTTTTTTTGTTTGAATTTTGTTGGTTTGTTTGTTTGCTTGTTTGCTTGTCTTTTTCTTTTTGGCTGTTTTCCCTCTGTGGCTGCGTGCCTGTGCGCATACATTTTTTTTCTTTTTTTCTTCCGTCCTCTTTGAACGTAGCCTCTGCCTCTTTGTAGGGGGTGGGGTGAGTGGGGGTGCATTTGCACACCTGCACTCGCGCGAAGTTTCTTTTTGTGCCTTTGCCGTTGCTTTTTGTAATATTGCTGGTATATACTTTTGTATGGCCTTCACTGTAATCCCCTTCTTTGGTGCGCCCTGCTTTTTCTGCATCATCGCCTGCGACGCGTTGAGCTTGCGCGCTACTAGTGTGTGTGTGTGTGTGTGTGTGTGTGTTTTCTCTTTTTTTTGCCGAGGTTCATCACCCGTCTGATCATCCTCCCGACACGTCTATCACTTTTTGCGCCGGCCCAACATGGAAATAGTATTAATAATGAAATAGAGGTAAGAAACGGGAATGGGGCGGAAAAGAGAGAGAGAAGGAAAAGGAATAAAAGGGGAATTGGCACCCGGCAGCAAGGTGAGAAGCGACGTGGGTGACTCCTTGGGGTAATTTTGCAGGCGTGAGGAGTTGTGTGTTTGTGTGTGTGTCAGCTTTTCTTTTTTCTTTTGGCACAAATGCATGTGGAGGTCAGTGACACATGTGTGCTGCCACCGCTGCTCTTTTTTTTTTTTTTTTTCTTTCTTCTGTAGATTACGTTGTTTTTTTTTTTTTTTTTTTTACTTTTTGTCTCCCTTTTTTTTCTTTCTTTCTTGGTTTTTGCCTGCTGTCAGCGTGTGCTGCCGTTTTTGAGTTCCCTATGTTTGCTTGACACCCACCGCCGCACTTGGATGCATGCCCAAGATGCGTGTCTTGTGCCGTTTCTCCTTGTGATTGCTCTTTACCTCCTTATTGCGGGGATGCGTACTGCTGTTGCGTTGCTCATGTGAGGGTGCTCTCTTCTTGTCGTCGTCGTCTGCACACAACCACGTATATGCATATATATACATCTACATGTGTATGCATAACACCATAGCAGGAAGGAGAGGAAAAAAAGGATTGTACGGGTGAAGAACAAGTTGGGAGCAGGATTTACTCACCTACGCACATCCAGTGGAAATGGTCATGTACGATCCGGCGGCAGCGAATAATTACCGCGACTTCAAAGTAATGCGGTGGAAACGGGCCCGGGAAGAGGAGCAGAAGAACGACATTTCACGTTCGTTGGCGGCTGCAGCGGGGATGGGGCCATCGCCGTTTGAGATGCCAGAGATGATGTCCACGACGGCAAGGGATGAATTTGCCTACGGCATCCTTGGCGGCGGCGGCGACACGATGCAGTTTCATCTAAGTGCGGAGGAGCTGCACCAGCGCCGTGTTCGACAGAGTGCCGCGTTGGGCATCACTACCGCGATGAAGTTGGAGCGCGACGAACTAGAGGCGGCGCATAAAGCGAGAGTTGCCGCCGGCATGGACCGCAAGGGACGCATTGGGCAGAAGTTAGGCAAATTGATGAGTGCGGCAGCCACGAAAGGCAACACCACCGACACGAACGCCATTGCTGACAGCGCCGGAACGGGAAAGAGCACTTCAGGAGGAGACACGACGCCAGCACCAGGAACATCTACGCCAACATCTACTATGTTGCTTGCAGGCAGCAGTGCGCAGCTTGTCTTTCAGAGGTCGGAGCTGGCTGCTGGTGGGTACGTTGTGCGTGAGGACGTCGGCACCCTGGATAAGCGCAGGATGCACCGCGGGAAACCAAGCTCTACCATCCTCATTCGCTTTGTTCGCGACGGGCCTCCGGTGGAGATGTTTGATGACACCGCCAACGGTGACAGTGACAATACGGCGATGCGGAATGCATTCCTGGAAAATATTCAGTGTTTATGCGGGCAATGTGGTGTTGTGCGTTCGGTGCGTTACGTCGTCTTGAGTGATGCGGAGAAGGTGTCTCTGCGTGCTCGTTTGGAAAAGGAAGACGTGACGGCTGCTTCCGCCGGGGTGGAGACACGTCTGGCGCGTGAGATGGTCCGTGTGTTGGTCCGTTTTGACACCGTGGCGAATGGCTTCAAAGCCCTGGAGATGCTACAGCAGCGTCACGGCTCCAACTGGGACGTCTGTTTTTTTTCCACGCAGTTGTTTGACGCAGGGGCGCTTGGGCCGGCGGAGGGTGAAGCACTCTGTTGCAGCTGAGGTGATGTTTGACCCGAGACGACTGTCGCTGCAACAGCCGTGAGCCCTGCGGTAAAGGAGAGAAATGGCGATGGAGCTGGTGGGTTGTGCGGGGGGTTGACGTTTGCTGCACATGTAATTTTTTTTTTTCTCTTTTGTTCTTTATTTTTTTTTCTTCCGGTTTTTTCCTCTATGCGTGTGGGTCTCGGTCATTTCTTGCAGCTACTTATATCTGCAGATACGTAGCTAGGTTCTTCATTGCATAGCCACCGTACACCAGCATACGGACGTCGTACCGGTATCTTCATACATTATATATATATATATATAAATAAATATGTGGGAGGCCTTGATCAACGAGGGAGGGATTAGGAAAAACGAAGGTGCGTTGGGAAAAAAGTGAAAAAAAGAATAGCGGCAATTATCCTCACACATACGTGCGCATTCACAACGGTGAGTGCGAACATGTCGGGGCCTCTTGCTGAGCGAGATCCACATCCGGCGAATTTTATTGAAAAGGAGAAGACGCGCCAGTGTCGCAGCCTGGGGCTGATCACGTCCGAGAATCTCACCTCGCGAGCCGTGTTGGAGTATCTGGGGTCTTGTCTAACGAACAAGTACGCGGAAGGGGAGTGCGGCAACCGCTACTGCGGAGGTGCAGAGTATGTCGTCATGATTGAGCGCCTAACCAAAGCGCGTGCCATGCAGGCCTTCAAGTTAGATGACACAGAGTGGGGCGTCGACGTGCAGCCGTACAGCGGATCCTCCGCCAACTTTGCTGCCTACACAGGGCTGCAGGAGCCACACAGCCGCATTTTGGGCCTTGACCTTCCCTCCGGTGGCCACCTCACTCATGGCTTTGATACCGCCAAGAAACGCATCAGCGCCAGTTGGGTGTATTTTGAATCCTTCCCGCACAAGGTAGACGCCAATGGGGTGATTGACTACGGGGCATTAGGAAAAATCAGTGAGGTGTTTCGACCCACCATGATTGTTCTGGGTGCCTCTGCTTACGGCTCCGACTTGGACTACGTGCGTCTACAGGCCCTCTGCGACCACCTTGTTTGCCTCCTCTTTGTGGGCATGGCGCACACCCCCGGCCTTGTCGCAGGCGGGGTGCTGGACTCCCTGTTCCCACACGCCGACGTTGTGTCGACCACGACGCACAAATGTCTGCGTGACCCGCATACAGCGATGTTATTTAGTTATTTATTTTTGCAAGAAGACTCGCAATGGAGAGGTGACAGACTTTGAGAGTCGCATCAACGAGGCCGTGTTCCCAGGTCTGCGATCCCCCATGGGCAACGTACGCACAGCTGGTTATGAGGAATGCGAAGCGGCTTGCAACGGTGCCTGTCGCGCGTGGTGACTGTCTTGTGTGCGAGAAAAAGGAGAATCGCATTGTGCTCTGGAATGTGCGTGTGCTTGGTCTCACCAGAAAGAAGGTGGAAAAGCTGCTGGATCACGTGTCAATCAGCGTGAACAAAAGCATCATTCCAGGGGATAAGAGTGCCTTGGCGCCAGAGGGTGTGCGTTTTTTGGAACCTGTACACTAACGACACGAGACATGGTGGAGAGCGGCATGGAGTGCGTTGCGGATTTACGCGATCGCGGAGCCAGACTGTGCTGTTGCTCTGCAACAGCAGGTGAGGCCAAAGATGAAGGAATTTGTGGAGGCCGTGAAGGCAGGCGAGGCGGCGAGCCAACTTCGGGAGGAGGTTGAACGACTTGCGTCCTCGCTTTACACCCCTGTTTTGGACCTTGAAACAATGATGTACAAGGACGGTAATCCTCCTCCTGCCTAACCGCACATTTTTTTTTTATCGTTTGCCTTCTCAGTGGGGAGGGGAGTATAGGGCGTGGAGGAAGGAGCAGGAAAGGTCGAGGAGGGCGCACGCAAAATTACCCCAGGGCGAGAGAACACATGCTGAACGGGATAGCGCGATATAATGGAGATGAGAGGAGGGGGGGAGGGGGACCAGCGGAGGAATCGAGTGGTGGTGGTGGTGGTGGTGGCGCATCCTGCGTGGCGTTGTGATCGCACGGGACGACAACGCGCCTCTCCCACGTCGATATTAATATGAATACTTATTGTTGTTTTCGGTTAACTTTTTTTTCTTTTTTTTGTTCGTTTTTTTTTGTTTTTGTGTTTCGTGCGTTTCTAAGGGGATTGCCCCGATGTGTTCGCTGCTGCAGCCACTAGTTTTTTGAAGTTCCCGCTCGTCCCGTTTGCCGCGATGGTTTCTGCTACACGGGCGAGTCTTTTTTTTTGTTGTTGTTGTGGCCTGCGCCTCTCAGCTTCACCCCCTCCCCCTTAAATGCACCGGTGTCTGCCCCTCAGTCTTGTGGATGTCTTTCCTCTCATCTTCTGCTTTTGTGCCCTTTCAACCGCCAACCGTCTTCTGCTGCTGTTGCCGCCGCACGTCAGTTGCCAGAGGCACCAAACAGGCGGCGAATTCACACACACACACACACATACAAAAAAAAAAAACGTACCGGAATAAAAACGAAAAAAAAAAAGAAAACGACTGGCAACCACAAAAATATCGTGTACTGGAGGCGAGAGGGGCCAAACAATACACGGAACACAGAAGGATCTTGCTTTTGTACAAAAAGGGTGTACATCACAGGAACACGGCGAGCCTTTCTGCTTTTTTTTTCTATTCGTTTTAGGGACCTTGTTTGTTCTGGAATGCTTCGCTCCACACACAAGTTCCGGGCGGCCTTTGTCATCGTTGCGGCACTCGTGGTTTCTCTTCTTGCGGCTGATGCTGCTCTTGGCGGCGGTACGCCCGACGATGAGGTGACGAAGCAGATGCTTCTCGTCGGTGATGCGGCGCTGCGTCAGGGGCGTAGCCACTACCAGGAGGCATTGGCGAAGTACACGAAGGCGCTCACTCACAACCCCAGCAGTGTTCGCGGCTTATACAGTCGCGCTGAGTTGTTGTCCATGATGCGCCAGCGGGAGGAGTGCATGCATGACTTGGACCGTCTGCTTGAGTTGGATCCAAAACACCACCGCGGTCTGGCCCTTCGCTCCTCGCTTAATGCACAGGCCGGCAACCTGCAGGAGGCCATTCGAGATATCGAGAGACTTGTCCCGCTCTACACGGCAATGAAAAAATCCTCTAAGGTGGCAGAGTACGAGTTGAAGCTAAAAGACCTCCACCATTACACTGCGGCGTGGTTGCCTCTACGGGAAAAACTTGAGGCACACAAACATGCGGCAGACGCGATAAGCGTCAACAACTACAAGACGTGTGTGCTGCTACTGCATGATATGATTCGTAAGTTTGCAAGGGACAATGTGGGACTACGGCTACAGCGCGCGGAATGCGCACTAGCATGTAGTGACAACCAGGCAGCTTCAGAGGAGCTGAAGTACGTTGTTCAGAAGGAGCCTCAAAATCTGGAGGCGTTGGCGCTAGCTGCACGCACCTATCGTGCGCTGGGGGCGACTGAGCAGGCGCGGGCGGAGTTGCGGAGGTGCCTCGTGCTGGACCCGGAGTATGCCCCGTGTGCCCAGCTGCAGAAACTTGTGCGGGGGCAGATACGAGTCACAAAGGCGGTTACGGCGGCACTCGAAGAGAAAAATTACAAGCGTGCTCAGCGGCACATTGACGAGGCGGAAAATCTGGAGGAAAACCCGCCGTACAGGGAACAGCTTCTCCTGTGGCGCTGCGCCGTCGCTGTGGGGTTGCGCGACACGGAGAAGGGTCTTTCTGTGTGTGAAGAGGCCATTGTCTTTCTGGGCGCTGAGAACCCTGCCTCCTTCGATGTCCACCTGCAGAAAGTGGATATATACCTCATGCAGGACGACCTAAAAGGTGCCGAGCAACAGCTGCAGCACGCGCGTCGGCTCCAGCCGAATAACGAGCGGCTACATGAATACATGCAAAAAATAGAAAATCTCCGGCGTGTGGAGGGTAGGAAGGACTACTACAAGATTCTAGGCATCAAAAAGACGGCGGACGCTTCTGAGATCCGACGCGCCTACCGTCAGCTGGCCAAGAAGTTGCATCCCGACAAACTACGCTCGCAGGCGCTCTCCGCAGCGGAGCGGCAGAAGGCGGATGAACGCTTCCGTGACATCAACGAGGCAAAGGAGATTCTACTTGATGAAAAGAAGCGGGAAATATATGACAGTGGCGAGGACCCAACGAAACCAGCTGGACAAGGCGGTGGGCAGCCGTTCTACGGCCATCCGTTCACATTTCACGGCAATCCATTTGGACACGGCGGGGGTCAACGTTTTTTCTTCCACTTTGACTGACACCGCAGCAGGAGGGTGATAAGAAGGATATGTGATTTCATACGGTTTTGTTTTGTTTGCGTTGGGGATTGATTTTTTCTCCGCCCTTGTTTTTGTTTTAAAGTGACTGAGCCAATGTGTTTGCAGCATGAAACAAACATCAGGGAGGATGCAGCCATGATACGGCAGAGGAAAAATGAATGAATGAAAGAAAGGGGTCATGAAGCGTGTTAGCTGGGCTCTCGATGATAAATCTCATTTTTTGTTTTGTTTTGCTTTTGTGTTTCGAGGAATGAATTTTGTGCGTCATTTGTTCCGGCAATAGTTCATGTTATGTGCAGGTGTGCGCCTTGAGGTTGCGGCGGCCACTCCGTTTTACTCCTTTAATGTGTGTACACGCGTTCCTTGCTCTGTTATTATTGTTGTTGCTCACTTTGTTGCTCAGCCGGTGGCCGCCAGTGCCGTTGACGCCGCTCTCATGCCCGTTTATTTGTTTATTTGCCTGTGAGTTTGTGTGAGTGTGCGATTTCTCTCCTTGTCTGCATTCACATTTCGTCTTATGCGCGTTTGGGCAAATAGGAATCCATTTATACCCTTTCATACATTTGACAGGGCAAGCAAAGGGAGTTTCGTGTTGCGCACGCTGGTGACGCGGCAAGGAGCAGTGCGTGAGTGACCGCGGAGTGGTTGTTCGCCGTGGGTGGCGAGGGCGAATTGGTCCTGCACACGCATATATGTCAAAGTGGTCGTTCTACCGGGGGGACAGTGAGGTGTTTGGCGAGGCCAATGAGTCGAGTGAGGTGGTTTCTCCCTGTGGCTACATTGTGCATATTCCGCCGCCCGAGTCAGGGCCGAGTCTACCTGCAATCGCCACCGATATTGCCTCCGTCACGCTTCCAACCGTTCGGGTCGCGCCCGACGTCACGCAAAAGATGGTGACATGGTACGAGGTGCTTGTCCGCTCCACAACGCACCAGTGGAGCGTCCTGAAGCGCTTTTCTGAGTTTTTTGATCTTTACAAGGCGATGGAGAAGGTGACTCTTGCGCAGGTTGCGAAGCAGCAGTTGGAGCAGTCCTTAATCTCGCCGCCATCTCGCCTGTTTTCAATGTCAGGGCGCCAACAGCAACTGGAAAAGTTTGTACAGTCACTTTTGCAGACGTTGAAGGATCTGTCGGTGCGTTGTCTTTGCGCCGACAATTCGGAGCCGGGGCGGGAGCGGGAGCAGGAGCAGGAGGGGAGTGCCTGGCGACTGACGACATCGGCGGTGACACGTGTTGCCTTTTCAGCCTTCATTCGTTTTCTCACCACCACCTCGTACGATGCCTCGCTGGAGGGTGCGGTGGCCGAAGGATGTGGTGCCACGGCTCAGCTGATAGACAAGGTGGTTGCTGACTGTATTACGATAAACGAGCGGACGTATGTGCCGCCAGCCAAAATTATGCACGTGCCGAATCAAGTCTTTACTATTATGCTGCAGCTTCCTGGCGCTTGTATGTCTACTGTATTTGTGAACTCCGCGGAAGACTCGCGAGAGGTTGTCGTTGGGGGCTCATGGAATGACCGCATCACAGGACCCGGTTCCGTCTATGGCGAGACACCAGACACGCTGCAGGGCGGCACCTCTCTCCCCTCAAGCGCCGGTACGGTGGAGGTTAACGGCTCGCACGTGGCGGTGGACGTGTCTTTTTCGGCCAAAGTATTGGTTGACACCTTTCCAGTGGGTGATTTCCAGATGGAATTTGAGGTGCCGCCGCCTTTTGCCGTTGATGAGTGGCGCAGTCAGTACGCGGGGGGCATTTTGTTTCTCACCTGGCAGTACGGCTGCCCCGGCCGCTGCTCTTCAGTGGAGAACGTGTGATGAGCGAAACGGAGTAAAAGATGTGCGTGTCTGCGTGCGTCTTCTTCACGCTGGATGCGTCGTGTGGAGAGTGACTTGCTTCTCCTTCCTGTCTCCTTTTAGAGTTCTCCACTCTGTCTTTTTTTTTTTCTTTGCTTCTTGCCTTTCTCTTGAATTTTGATCTTGAGTGGCTGCCCATTGTCTCTTTTTCCTTCACTCGCACGACTTTACGTGCATCTCCGCTGTGTCTGTCCCTGCGTTTTTCATCGATGTGGCCTTCCTTTTATTTTATTGTTATTATATATGTATATATATATATTTTGCGGCTGCGCGGCCCATCCTCTCTTTGCTTCGCTTGCGATGAACTTCGCAGAAAAGTAACATTTGTTGGTTGCAGCCGTAGCGAGAGCAAACGAGGCAGTTGACAGCATTCTGGCAGCCCTTCCGGCGACACCAGTGCATAACTAAACAGCTCTTTTTCCTCGAGCCATTGACGTTTCCTGCACGGTACCATTCCCTGACGCCACTGAAGATGACAGCGCAGAACTCGGCTGAGATGACAGTGGAGGAGCGGTACGCACTTGTGCGCTCCATTGGTGAGGAGTGCATTCAGGAGAACGAGCTTTTAAACCTCATCACTAAGAAGCCAAACATCCGCTGCTATGATGGGTTTGAGCCTTCCGGGCGCATGCACATTGCTCAAGGGGTGTTCAAGGCTGTTAATGTCAACAAGTGCACTCAAAGTGGGTGTGAATTTGTGTTTTGGGTTGCCGACTGGTTTGCGCTGATGAACGACAAAATGGGTGGGGAGCTGGAAAGGATCCACATTGTTGGCCAGTACTTGATCGAGGTGTGGAAGGCGGCCGGGATGAATATGGAGAAGGTGATTTTCTTGTGGAGCAGCGCCGAGATAACGCGGAACGCAAACGCGTACTGGAAGACCGTGCTGGACATCGCTCGCAAAAACACCATCGCACGCATCAAGAAGTGCTGCACGATTATGGGCAAGCAGGAGGGCACCTTAACGGCGGCACAGGTTCTCTACCCCCTGATGCAGTGTGCTGACATTTTTTTCCTAAAGGCAGACATCTGCCAGCTTGGGCTGGACCAACGCAAGGTGAACATGTTGGCGCGCGAGTACTGCGACCTCATTGGACGCAAACTGAAGCCCGTGATTCTGTCGCACCACATGCTTTGCGGCCTCAAAGAGGGTCAGCCGAAGATGAGCAAAAGTGACCCGGATAGCGCTATCTTCATGGAGGACACGAAGGAGGATGTGGAGCGTAAAATTTGTCACGCGTACTGCCCACGCTCAAGACAGAGAAAGGAGGAGGTTTCCGAGGACGGGGCACCGGTGCCCAACGAGGACAAAAATCCGGTACTGGACTACTACCAACATGTTATTTACTCTCGCCCGGGCGCGAAGATCACGGTGAGCGGCACGACGTACAAAACTTACGAGGAACTTGAAGAGGCCTTTGTGGATGGCGCAATCACAGAGGCGTCACTGAAGGACACACTTGCCGTGGAACTGAATGCCCTATTGGAACCCGTGCGCCAGCACTTCGCGCATGACCCTCATGCGGCGGAGCTCTTGGAAAAAGTCAAGTCTTTTCGCAAAGGCGACGCATCCATGCCGTTGGAAGAGGGCGCTCCACTAGAGCAATCGGCAACGCCGTTGGCAGTTGTGTGGCTGCCTGCAGTGATACAAATGCCCGTGGATGTTGCTATCGCTATTTCTGACGCCATTAGGGCGTTTTTGGAGCAGCACTCCAATGGGGAGGTTGTGCTTCTACTTCCAGAGTGGACTGCGTTTTCATGTGGTGAGGTGACGGGTGAGGAGAAAAACATAAACGCCGCACTCGAGCTTAACCTTGCGCTCTTGCAGTCAAATTATGTGAAGAAAGACGGTGTTCGTGTCGTGCGTCAGAGTCAACTTATCCTGGACAATCCGAATGATTACTGGGTGGCTGCCATCAACGCGGGTCGTCGCAACTTGTTGCAGAGCCTGGGAGATACCTGTGGGGAGTTCAAAAGCGCCGGCCACTTGGTCGCGGCCCTCATGTACGTGGCTGATGTGGCAATGTTAAGGGCCACCCACGTTATCTCCGCGTCTCATGAGCGTGGCTATCACGAGGTTGTGACGAAGTTTTTTGAGGGGCGTGTCACGGTGATCCCCGCAAGGGAGGGAAATGTTCCGCCGCTGCACCGCCCGGAGGCATCGGTTGCCAGCGCCGACGACGTCCTGTTTCTCGGCGACACGGACATGGACGTGTGCCGCAAGATCAAGAGGGCGTACTGTGCACCCAACGAGGCAGAGAACCCGGTGCTTTCTATCGCCGCCTGGCTCCTGCGTGAGCGCGGCGCACTGACTGTGGAGAGGGCAGCAGAGAATGGAGGAAACGTGACGTACACGGACGAAGTGCTGCTGCGCAACGACGCGCAATCCGGGGCGTTGCACCCGGCAGACCTAAAGGCAGCTGTCACGAAGCCGCTGCTGGAGAGCTGCGCGGCGTCCAAGGCAGTGCTCGCAAGTGCTGAGGGCAAAAAACTTTCACAAACGCTGCGGCAGGCCGCGAAGAAGCTGTCAAAAAAATGAGGTTTAGACAACTGTGGGAGGGGTGGCCCCCTGTCGTTTGGGCCGGGAAGAGGGTCGGAACCACGCCAAGAGGGATAACAAAAGGTGGCGTGTCTGTGTGTGCGGGGGGGGGAAGTAAAAGGAGGAGGAGGCGAGAAGCAAAAACAAAACAAAATAGGAATTCCATTCCATGGACCAGGGATTGACTGAATGAAGTAGGGGGAATAAAATTTGTTTTGATGCGTCGACAGAGCGGGGTGAGTACAACACATTCCATCAGTTTCCAATGCATTGCCGCCGCCGACTTACTTTGTTTCTTTTGCCCTGATAACTCCCGCTGCGCCTTTTGTTTTTCATGTGCTTCCGTTCTTTTCGTTTAATACTGAGTGAAAGAGCAAAAGGGTGTTTACCACACACTCCTCCTCCTGAAGCGTGTGAAGGGAAGGTACGAGCAGCTGGGGATAAATACATGAGCGAGTCTCTTGCTGAGACGGTGTGTTTCTTTGCATATTATATATATATATATATTTAATATGCATTCATTTTTATTTTTAACGAGAGCCTGGTTACCAAACATTGATTTATGCGCTTACTGGTTTGCTGGTGTCTCCACGTGTACTGGACAAGACCTCTCTTCAGTGGGAGACGATTGGCGCAAATCGATGCAAATAGAACTTACCTTCATTTTTTATTATTGTTGTTGTTGTTTTTTTTTCCTTTCCGTGTGACGATTTCTAAGGCCGACGGCGTCGGGTAAAAGTGAGTTTCGGCGAAAGAGGAGTGGACATTTCATTGCCCTTGACGAACCGCGCTGACGGAGGGCAAACAATGGCGTTCGTGGACCCTCAACGCACAGTGGGGATGGTGATGCATGAACCACCACGGCCGCCTTATCGGCGCGTAGAGCCGCAGGACCAGCAGCGGATGCAGCGGTATTCACGCCACATGAATACAATGGGCATCTCTGCACAATGTGGCGATGCAGCGCAGGTAAAGGAATCCGCCGCCCAAAAAAAGGGCTTCAGACCCACCCTAACGATGGGAACCACGCTTACTATCATTGAGGCGGAGGAGACGGCGAAGTCATTACGCAAGTTTGAGGAGTCACTTGCGCGGCATCTCCCTTGCACCTCCTTGTCGGTGAGCGACGAACGGCATGACATCTCTGCCTTAGATGAGGCTGCGGCTGAGGCATCGAGGACAAGCCTTATCGCCCCAACAACAATGGGCGCGAGGCCAGCCGCAGCCCAGCCAACGCAGCGGCTAATGGTGAATCTCCTACCGCGAGTGTTTTCTGAACTCCTTCTGCGACGTAACTCGGTTGTATCACAGCTGCGGAAAATAGGCCGGGAGGAGGTACTGAGGCACATGGGAGACACAGGACGTCGGCTTGGGATGCGAGTGGTGACCTCACGGGACCTTTACTTTCTCCTAAGTTGCATATTTGATGAAAAAGAGCTGTGGAAGGACGACATTGAATATTTGTTTCGTTTTTTTGACTGGGGTGGAAAAGGATCAATGGATTTTAAAGATGCTCTCGACAGCGCAGGTCTTCTTTTTGTTCCTCCAGAGGTGCAGGCAGTTGTGCACTGTAGGCGGGTGCTGAATGAGCGTGTGCTTGACGACAGTGTGATTTCCATTGCAGACATTGATGTGATGCTCACAGCCCTTACCGTTATCTTTGCATCCACGTTTCCAGAACTGCCCGCACTCTGCGATGAGGTTCACATGACGGTAGAGAATGTCATGCCAACCTACACAGTGCCTGTATCGCTGTTCCGTGCTGAGGTGGATCGCATTTCCGTCCTGAGGCGTTGCATCTCGGCAGTTCAGTGGGACGGCTCTGTGCGATGGGCAGATGTGTTGCCTGCTCAACTGGAAGACGACTGTGGTGGCACCCATTCGGAATGTCTGATGCAGTTGGTGAGCACGGCAATTGCCGATGGACGGGAACCGACGCCGCCCCCGGTGAGTACGCTCGACGAGGATTACTGCGTGGATGTTTCTCACCCGCGCTTCGTTGCCGACATGTATCTCACCCGTGCCAGTGAAAGCCAGACGTAAGTAGGAAAAACAACACCAACAAAACGAAGTAAATGCGTACACAACCTCTTTTTAGACTTGCTTCCGTTTCTCTGTGTGTACACTAATTCATTCATACATACATACACATGTATGAGCATATGCGCGTGTTAGTACGTGGCGTCATGTAAAGTATTCGCTTCACATAGCGCTATTTATTACCCAGTTTGGGGACTCTGATTCCAACAAACCCTGTGCCTAGGCATTCCCTTGTATAACAGATCATCAGTACACAACTCTCCCTCTCTCTTTTTCCTTCTCTCCTGCTTTCTACCTCCATACCATTGTTGTTTCTTAATGTTTTGCTTTTGCAAAGAGTAAAGAAGTGGCAATCTTGTACCTCCCCGTAGTGATGACTGCCGTCCGGGAAGGGGTGTTGCGTTTTACACGGTCGTCGTTGTTTTCGCACCTTGTGGTTCTCCTCGCACTGCTGGCTTCCCTCAACACGGTGCGGGCTGTGCGGGTGCGCTCCACCACGCAAGATCTTGCGTTTGAGGTCAACCGGGAGGAGGTGTGCATGTATTCTGTGGGACTTGACTCGAATGAGGGGGCGGCACTGCACTACCGTGTCTTGCGTGGGGGCGATGACTTTGACGTGTACATTCGAAGCCCAAGGAACAAGACGGTCTACGTGTCATATGCGGGGGAGCACGAGTTGGAGGATCGTGTTTACTTCACCAAACACTTGCATGGCGAGTACTCGTACTGCATTGACAACAGCCAGTACTCTGGTAGCCGCAAGACTGTACAGATGAGCATCGGGGTGACCTCGTTGAAGCGGTGGAAGGACCGCATTGACCCTCTCACAAAGAGTATGCTGCGGACAGACAGTGTGATGTTGGGCCTTCATGATGACCAGATCATCTTCCGCCTGCGTGAGCGAGACCTGCGGGATATGATTGAAGAGAGCAAAAAGCTTCTGTTTCTAAGCGGCGCTGCTGAGACGGCGGTCATTGTCATCCTCTCCTTTCTTTACGTCATCCTCATCAAGCATCTGTTTTCCAGAACAGGCACGAGGGCCGTCGCGTGACGGCGGCGCAGAGGACCAAAGTCATGTATTTAAAACGTTATGAGTGTAGAGAATGACAAACAAAGAGATATAGCAACAACAAAAGGAGTGAAGGAGAGTAACGCTTTGAAAAGTGTTATGGAACACCATTGTTATTATTATTACTTACTTTGCCTATTTTTTTTTCTTTTCGTGTGTGTGTTTCTCCCCCATTGCATGTATACATCTCGAGGACGCCAGACTTGTGCCCCCTCCCCCCCCCCCCCACCAAACACACACACACACTTTTTGCTTTGAGTGAGTGTGTGGGACGCAGCGAAGGCCCGGTTCAATGACTGTCAGGCCCAACACTGTTTGACCGTTTTTTTCCCCGTTTCTATGCGCATGTAACACTTACGAGCAAGTAGCAACATCAATAGAAACAGTAAAAAAAACCACTGAGGAGGAAAAAAAAAAGAAAGCGGATTCAGTATGCTTCGACGAGTTTTCCCTGCGAGTATTTCTGTAGCAAGATGCGCCCTGCCAGCGCTTAGTGGTGCGCTGCGTCACGTGCACCAGAAGCAGACGCAGCATGACTTCTCAGAGTGCTTTTTGCGAAAGTTAACGGAGGAAGAGGAGGAGGCGCTGCGAACTCTGCAAGATCGTCGTCCCATTTCTGCCGTGGTGCCAGGCAAAATGTTTATGCGTCACTGGATAGCTGCGGAGCAGTCAACCGTATCCGTGGTGAACCGTGCCATTTCTGGCATCATCTCCATCTGCCTGATAATTTGGAGCTGCGGCTACGCGACGCTGGGCTACAACGGCCACAGTTGTGCCCACCTGGCAGGTTGGTTTTTTGTTGCGTACTGGTTGTTTCTCCACACTCACCATGTGGCGCTAATACCCCTTTTTCTGTCCCTCAGCGTCTTGCAGCTGGTTGTGAACTAATTGCCCTTGTGGACGGATACGGGGAAACAAAAAGACAACCCCGCAACTGCGCAGGGTGGTTTTTGTGGGCTAGCTAGAGACCAAGGGGTCGAAACGTGACGAAATATGTGTCGTAAAACAACAAGACGAAAAAAAAAAGGAACGAAGTATTTAGGGAGGGGGACCCGCATCTCAGGAGTTTTCGTTTTTATTTTTGCGTATATGTGTGTTGGTGTTTTGTGCTTTTGGGGACGCAAGAGCAATTTTTTTTTTCTTTTTTTGCCGGTCTTTTCAGCATCATCAATGGTTCTCGCGTGGGTGGGTGGGTGGGAGGCAGGGAATAGGAACAGATATGAGTATATATTTAGTGGCGACGAAATTTTCTGGGGCGGTATTTTTTTTTCTTTTTCTTTTTCTTACACCACCACTCTCCCTGGCTGACGCGCGTATCTGCCTTCTGCACACCCTTCGTAAGGTATGCACGCATGCATGGCCGTGGCGGCGCTTCCCTCCTCACTTAGGGCCTTGTCAATTGCTTGCGAGAACGCACACTTGACACAAGGCGATCTACACATTTGGATGACGTAGGAAACAAATGCACGTGTGGGTGTGGACGTCTTGTATTGGCGTTTAGGATGCCTCATTTTTTATCCGCTGCTGCTGCGCCGTTGTTCTTTTGTGTTTCGTGCCTGTTGCCTTTTTTGCTTCTTTTGATGAAACATTTTTGTCTGCCTTTTTTCTCGCTCTTGCCGTGGACGCATTAGGTTGGAAGACACTGGTCACACGAATTTGTGTGTTTTCCTACTTTTTTTTTTTGTAGTTTAATTTTCTGTCGTCTTCTCAGCGTGTGACATTACTTTTGTGTGGGCGTCTGAGTGTGTCCCTCTACTTGCGTCAAGTGTGGGAGGGAGGACCAGGGATAGGCAGAAGGAGCGCGGCGCCGGTGGTGCAAAAAAAAAAAAGGAAAATAAAAGGAAGACGACTAATTAGGGAGGAACGCGGCCCCGCGCACGTTGCGTGTGGTCTTATTCCCTTCTTCTTGGAGGCGTCTCACACCTCTTGTGCGTCCACGAACGGAGGCTAGCCGGATTGGCATACAATTGGGCTTTTTACCGCCTTTTACTCCCTTCTGTGCCATATCCTCTTTCTGCTGAGATTTATTCTCTCACGCAGGGTGAACGTGTGTAAGTGTGTGGAAAGGCGGAGTGAGGATTTGACGGCAATGGAGAAGTTCACCAAGGTGCGGCACATTGGCAAGGGCAACATGGGGGCCTGCGCCCTCGTCCGCAACAACGAGGATGGCAAGTGCTATGTGATCAAGCAAGTCGATCTTGGTAGGCTGAGTAGAAGGGAACGTCAGCAGAGTCTCAATGAGGCGCACTTATTAAGTTCTCTGCAACACCCAAACATTATCAACTATGTAGATAGCTTTCTCTCAAGGAAATCCGATTATCTTTGTATCGTCATGGAGTTTGCCGATAGTGGAGACCTGAGTGCACGCATTAAAAAGTCTTACGGTGTCAACTTTCGTGAGTCACAGGTGCTGGACTGGATTATTCAATTGGTGCTGAGCCTCTCTTACATTCACAAGCGCAGGATCCTTCACCGCGACATCAAGTCTCAAAACGTTTTTTTGACAAGCCAGAATATTCTGAAGCTCGGAGACTTTGGCATCGCGTGCACCCTTTGTGGCACATACGATCAAGCCAGGACTTTTGTTGGAACCCCGTACTACCTTTCCCCTGAGTTAATATTAGAACATCCCTACGATCACCGCAGTGATGTGTGGGCGCTTGGAGTGGTAGTCTACGAGCTTATGGCATTGAAGCATCCATTTAATGCAACTAACATGAAGGGACTGATGCAGCGCATCCTCAGGGTGCAATACGAACCTGTTCCAAAGTTATATTCCACTGAGCTGCGAGACATTGTACCACGTCTTCTAACTAGGGAACCATCGCAACGCATAAAGTTGGAGGAACTGCTTGAGCTTCCTGTAGTGCAACGACGGATGAAGGAGTGGATGTCGTCTGATGTGATGCCTAAAAGCTATATTGACGCCCTTCTGCAGCATAATTTACTGCCAACTGCGATCGCTGCGTTACGAAAGAGTAATGTCCCAGGCACAGTTGTCACCTCAGCGCAGCCCTCTGCTCTACCCTCCTCAGGAGACATGCCAAATGGTGCGCATCGGGCCCAGCCCGAGCCCGCGGTGGAAGCACCTTTGCCTCCTTTGCGCTCGGACAGGAATCTACCGCCTGTGCCACACCGCAGGTTGCTTCCATTGGAGCAACAGCAACAGCAACAGCAACAGCAACAGCAGCAAGAACAACGAAAATCAACATTGCCGCAACAACATCATCTGCCACCGTACCAAAGGTCAGTGCCAAGGCCTTTAATAGATGCCAATCGACTCGATGTACTTCAGATGCCAAGGCAAGCAAAATACCGCTATCTCATGTACAAAAATATCAATGGCGGGTATAACTCTCAAGCTGTTTCTGGCGATGGACAGAGGGACTCACGTGTCTCAGTCTCCGTGCCGCTGCAGATGCCTTCCAACAACGTTGTTCATCGGGCTAATATTTCTCATGTTCAACCGGTGGGTGTAGGTGGTGCGCAACGCTCCTCTCTCTCGCGGGATGTTTCTCATGACCATGCCGACGTCGGTAGCGCGGCATTCGTCTATGCTAGCAATCCACTTAGTAACAGGCCTGAACCCAACGCCCACGCCGTGGGAGGTTTGCCGTGTCAGATCAAAGCAGAACCAGACAAAGAAGGTGGAAACCCGTTTTTTGTGGATCACCGTCTTGGCAAGCGTGGCCAGCAGGGACCGAGCAGTGTGGTCTCGTGTCTCAACCCCTTCCTTCAGCAGCCTTCAGTTGGAGTGACCCCGCTGCCATGTGCTCCACAGCTGCCCAACATGGACATTAAAGCTATGCTTCAGCGTGCTGCGTTGGAACGGGCCCAGCGACGCGCCTTTTCGTGAAGTTATGGCAAACGATAAATTTTGGAATACGTGAAGAACCCTGCAAGCAATGACGAAGGAAAAGGAAGAAAAGCGAAAAGGAGGAGAAGAAGAGGGTGGCGGAGTATATACTTATCTATTCCTCAAACAAGTTTTTGGTTTTATTTTCATTTCTCCCTATCACATGTTTGTGGTCCAATTAGTGTTCTTTTGTGGTCAGCAATGATAGATCAGATACGTATAGATAAGATATTCTTATTCCTTTTCTAATGCTTTTTTTTTGTTTGTTTGTTTGCTGCCTTGTGTAGGTTTCAGGCAGCAAGTAGAGCGGAGGTTTTTGTGGTGCTGGGCGGTGTGTCTGTGGGGGTGAAGAGAACGAAAAGGCTCATACCACGTATTAATATATATATATATATATATATATATAGTTTTAGTTTTAGTTTTAGTTTTATCCCTTTTTTTTGTTGTTGTTGTGTTCCCTGACCACTGCCTTGTATACATGCGTCATACGCGCCGTTATTTACTCATATATATATATATATATATCATGTATGCATTTAAGTGCGTGTAGGTATTAGGTGGGGAAGTGGGAGGGAGAATAATATAGTTTTATTCCATTCTCCTTCTTTTAGTACGAGTGCGGCTTTTGCACCACTGGGTGATGCGGGATGTGGAAGCGAGAGGATACGGAGATGATGATGATGGCCATGCTGCTACAACGCGGAGAGACGGTGGCAGCAACGACAGGCGAAAGAAAAAAAAAAAAAGTCAAGGAAAAGAGACATAAATAACAATACAGTGAATGAGAAGTTTTGAAAGGGGGGAAAAAAAAGATGATGTGGTACACGAATTGTTGGTGTTTGTGCTTGTAATTGTACCTCTGCCTCTATTGTTCGGATGTGTGACATTTATACTTATTATGTTACCCGGGTATATGAAATCTACCCTCGTTTTTTTCTTGTTTTATTGGAAGCTTATATACATATGTATATATATATATGTAGTCATTCTTGAGAAGTGATACGGCGTTTTTGGTCGCAGTTGCCTTGAGCCGTTCCCACATGCCTTTGTGCTGTCGTTCTACTTTGCCTTCCGAGGCGTCACGGTGTGGGTGTCTCCGCATGTTTCTTCGTTCACAGACGTGTGATGTGGTCTGATCACCCCCCCCTTTTTTTTTTACGTTGTGTGTGTGTGTGTGTGTTTGTGTGTTTTTTTTTCCGTTTTGTTTTGAATTACATTTTTTTTTTTGCTTCCATGCCTGCCGACAGAACCACGCAACAGCTTTCTACTTTTTTGTTCCACGAGCCATTTTTCTCTCCATTGTTCACTTTTCCTTTTCCAACGATCCTTTGGCGGTAAGATTCCATTTATTAAGACAATAACAGTGCCTTTACTTCGAGTTCCTTTTCTCCTCCTTTTGTTCTTTGTCTTTCTCTCTGTATATATATATATATATATACATATATCTTTCTTTGCACGTGCGTGGGTTTCTCACGCTTATCCCCGATGCTCTGGAGCTATTTTTGTATCTCTGGCTCTGTGTATATGTGTGTGTGTTCACGCCGCATGTGTGTCTGCGTTTCTTCTTTTTTCTTCTTCTATAACCCTGCTTGTGTGTGTGCCTGTGCGTACGGGTCCTGGTGACACAAAACACGCAAGCACGCAAACGCGTCTGCGCACGGAGGGGCCCACACGCTGCGTTGAGGAAGAAGCAAAATGGAGGACGATTGGAATGGGGACGGGGGGATTTCGAACCTACTCCTTCTGGAGGAGCCGAGTGCGTTGCATTTGCCGTGCTCCGTGCGGTTTCGTGCCTTTTCTGACGCGGTTGACAACTCCGTTACACGCGAGGCGGCGTGGCGCACGGTGCTGCCGAATAGTTTGTGCGTCCACAAGCGACGCAGGCTGGACGACGTCTCAGGTTGCGGAGGTGAGGCGTTGGTGCGGCCCATTTTACGTGTTATGCGTGACCCCATTGAGGTGGCGCGTCGCCGTTTTGAGACTCTTCGCTGGTTTGACGAACCACGTGGGGCGGAGGAAATTCGCGCACGCTTTGAGCTTGACAGGCGACTTGGGGTCCAGCCGAGTCTTGCCGCCCTGCATCAGGCATTGAAGCGGCTAAGAACACTGCACCACACGAAGCTTATCGCGGAGCTTGCGGAGGAGCTTGTGATGGATGCCCCGGCGATGTCTGTTTATACGCTCCTGCATATTGTGGAGGGACTTGAGGGGGAGCCCCAGCGTGCCGCCTCGCTCCTATTCTCCTTAGCGCCTTTAGTTACGAATGGTACTGTGCCGACAAGTGTGTGGTCCTCGCTCTGTTGCGAACTGGATACTGTGGCTCGACAAATGCCGGCACCCCTAGAACGGTCAATAGTTGACCTCTTTGGTCAGCTTTTTAATCAGGTCCGGGAAGATGGCCCTGTGAACGGGTCTATTGTGGTATATTACGGTCAGGCGTTGCTTAAGAGCCGCGCGCCTATTCGTAGTGTGGTGGGATTTGTGCAAACCGAATTGCTAAGCGGACGCAACACGCCACCGAGTTACGGCGTGTCGGAGTTACGGCTGAGCGCATTTATTAGTGAGTTGATTCAAGTCTTGTCTGGCTGCCCAAACGGGGGTGTGGACGAACGAGAGGAGGGGCCACCGTTTTCCGCGCGAGAGCGGCTGTTGTGCTGCAGTGACCTCGTCAAGCATGCATATGCGGGACGACTTTCTTTGAATCAGGCTGCATTTGATGTGTTGTTGCGCTTTTGTGACGAGGAGCAGGAGTACAGCCTCCTTTGCATCCTCTTTCTTGCCATGTGTGCACTCTCCACACCGACGTTGCTCTCCGTCACCCGCGTGGCGGAGGTGTTATGTGATGTGGAGGAGCTTTCCTGCTACTTGGCGGGAGTTCTCGGTCAGCCCATTCCACGGTGGATGCTGTACATTTTGGTACGTTACGGAAAATCGACTCTTTTTTCTCTTGGTAATCGAAAAAACAACACCCGTGAGGCCCTTGAGATGCATTTCTGTGACTGTTTAGCGCGGTTGTGCGCACGCGATGGAACCGCTTCGCTTTGCATGGATGTTTTTGACGCGATTGTTGAGTACGGAAACCCAGCGGGGGCGCACGTCTTTGTATGCGCCTTGGCGCGTGCACTGGGCATGGCGCAGCGTCCCTTTGTTGAGGCAGCGACGAAAACAGACGTGACAGCATTGGAACCCTTTAATCTTGAGACGCTGTACTATGCATTGGGGCCAGCTGTTGTGACACTTGGGGAATTTCGTTCCTTTATTCGTGAACGACCATCGGCGTTTCTCTTTCCGTCTCACAAAGGAAGTGGTGTGACACTGGAGCATGCACTGGCCGTTCTTTTGGAGTCGCCGCAGGTGTACGGCACTGTGCTGGATGCGACTGCGGTGTGCGCCCTTGCAGAGTCGTCAGCCCTTGCAGAGGCGTTTGTGAAGATGATGGATGGATACGCAGCCAAGTCAGGGGCCGTTGCGTTTGTACCCTTTGAGGTTTCTGCTGCAACGCAACTGACGGATGCCGGACGGCAACTGCTGCTCGCATGGTTGACAAAACACAACTGGCTAATCTTGCTGCCGCTTTCTTCCACAGTCCAACTGCTGCCAAGCGTCACTTCCTCGGCGACATCGACGCCTGTCTCACTGCAGCAGCAGTCATGTGTTTTGCTGTTTCACGCAGTACGTCGTGGTGGTCACAAGAAGGTTGCATTTGTAACTGCCGCTGGTCCTGTTGCGGAGCAGGCGAAGGCAGAGGGCGTGCATCCTGTCATCACGCTTGCCGAGCTGAAGGTACGCCTCGGTCTACACTAAAGTTGCACTCCACCTGGTTTGTATCCGGGGAGGCGGCAGAGCCAGCCAAAGCAACACTCGATACTGCGAACAACTGGTGTATAAGAACAAAGAGAAGTATATGAAAAAGGGAGACAAGAGATAGAATAAGAGAAACAAAGACGATGAATATTTATGTTCATGCTGCTGTTGTCACGTACGACGATGGTTCTCTAGCCTTCTGCATTCCTGTTACTCTGGAGGGAGCTGGTGACGGCTACAGGACCGTTCCGCAGCTTATCTTTTTCCTCCATTTTTTATTGTTGTTGCCGCTTCTCTGACTCGCTTGCGGAGCTTGTGTGATGCCGTGCCGACGCGTGCATATGTTGGTGCGTATTGCAGTGGGTACTATTACTGTTGCTATTATTTTATTTCTTCTTGTTTCTTTTACTCTCTGGTTCACGTCAATTTTTTTCTGGGTGATAGTAGCAGTCGAGTCTTGTGGAGCCCTTTCTCTTTATCACTCTCTCTCACTACCGCGACATGACTGCGCCGGCGGAGGCGGTAAAGGAAAAGGCGCCGCTGCATGTGTACCCCGAGGCGGAGGTTGGGACCAGTTTTTTTTCCCACCATGGCCTCTATTCCATGCGATACAACGGCGTCTGCGCCCTCACAGGCTCCATTGTTCTCATGGCATCTGGAAGATTTGTGATGTTTGTGGATGTAAAAAGCGGCAAAATAATGTCAACTCCTGGACCTGAGAATGGTGGTGTGGGCGTCGTTGCGGTGCACCCTTCGCGGCGGTTTTATGTCGTGTGCGAGAAACTCCCGAACGATCCGTTGATTCGTGTGTACAGTTGGCCCTCACGCGAGGAGGTGGGGCAATTTGTGGGCGGTGCGACAAGGGGATTCAGTGCTTGTTGCTTCAACAAGGACGGGACGATGATGGCCACGGTTGGTATGTACCCGGACTATTCCCTGGCTGTGTGGAACTGGAATACGCGGGGGATGATTTTGCGCAGCAAGTGCCATAACTCGGACGTCTACACAGTCGTGTTTAGTCGCTTTGATAGTGGTGTTCTTGTGACCGGTGGGGCGGGAAACATCAAGTTTTGGTCAATGGCAAACACGTTTACGGGGCTAAAGTTACAAGGGTTACTGGGGAAATTTGGACGGCTGGAGATTACCAACGTGTCGGGGTTTGTTGTGCTGTCGGACGGCAAGGTTCTTTCAGGCTCCGAATGTGGGCTCATCCTCCTGTGGGAGGGGGATCTCGTGCGCTGCTGCTTTGCGCAGGAGGTGATCAAGGATGAAGTGGATGGGGCAGTTGCACTGGCTGTGCAAAGCTACGACTACAAGCCCTGCCACAACGGCGCGATAAACGTTCTGGAACTGCTTGAGGACGGGCGTGTCATCCTTACGGCGGGCGATGACGGATACATGCGCTATTGGCGTGTCAGCGAGCTGGAGACAGCGGAGGGCGACGGAGCCCCACCGTTGTATGCACCGGAATGCCTCTGTGAGGTACTTGTGGATCCACAGGCCCACATTCGCGCCATGACGCTTTGTCGTGACACCAATGAGTGGGTCGTGCTCGATAGTACCGGTGCACTCTGGCGGGTTCCGTATATTGCATCCAAGGACATTCTTGCAAGATCCCGACTCCTTGCCAAGGAACGAGCCCGGGTGGCATTGCGGTTTACTGGCGGTGGCATCACAAGTGCGGCGGTGTCTCCAATTGATCACACAGTGGTGACTGGTGGTGAGGACGGCAAAATTCGTCTCATTGACTACGTGACACCACAGCAGGTGTATGAATTCATCCTGCCAGTCTCCACCGTAGTTGTTGCTCTCCGCTTCCTGCGTACGGACACAACCGGGATGAAGCTTATTGCGTGCTGCGAGAATGGGACGGTGCTACTGCTACAACGCGGAAGTAATACCTTCGTCTTGCTTGGTCAGTGGCGGCCACATACGGATGGCCTTATGACGATGACAGTTGATCGTGATGAACGTCGTCTTTGCACCATTTCAACAAACGGCACAGTCTTTTTTTTTGACATTGATCCGGATCTCTCTGCAATTGCGCCCATTGGTTTTTGCTGCCTCCCCTTGAAGGATGTTCGGTGTGCGGCGTGGGACGACGCAACGTCGTGCTGCCTGTTGGGATACGAGAGTGGGAAGCTGCTGGCGATTCAGGCACCCAAAATGGAGGAGATGGATCACAGTGTATCCTTTGAGTTTACCTGCATCTACGCTCTGGTTGGTATTCGCCAGCGGAAGCTGGCAGAAAAGAAGCTTGTGAACCTGGTTGCTGGGGAAAGGGCAGACGGGATACAGGAAGAGGAAGAAGAAGAAGACATGGGGCCGTGGCCGGTGCATCTTATTTGCCCTCTACCTGATGGGTCGTTTGCGGTTGGGTTTGCGGCGCCGGAACTGCTGTATCGGTACCATCTAAACATCCGCTATGACAACTGCACGGAACTTCCCCCGCTACCACCGACAGGGATTGAGCCTCCTGACTACTTGGAGGAGCCCATGAATAACTTGTGCTACCGCGACTTGGTACCAAAACTGGCCACTGTCAGCATCTCGGAAAGCTTCATCGTCGTCATCTGCGAGAGCGCTCAGGTGATTCTACGATCACTAGACTCTTCTGAAAAATCGCCCCAGGAATGCATACTCGCCGCCGCGGCCCACGATCGGCTAGACGGGCAAATTGCCACTGCCTGTACTTCGTTTGATGACTCAATGCTGGTGTCCGTCGGTTCAGATGGACTCGTCATGGCACAAATTCGTAAGGGCTACCATGCGCCACTGCCTCCAAAGATCCAGGCGGGGTACCCGCCTCTGCGTGCCGAGGAGGTTGTGCCGCCGCAGCCAATTGCATTGTCGATCAGCGAACAAAAAGAGGCGGATGATCGTCGTAGTGCCGAAGAAGCTAAGCAGCGGGAGCTCGATGCCTTTCTTGCGAAGTTGCACGTTGTGCATGCGAAATACGCGGAGTTGCTGGCGGAGAACAGCGCCGCCCCCGTGCAGCTGCGGCTGTCGGAGAAGGAAATGGCCCTTCACCCGCAAATCTTGCAAGAGATGGAGGAGGAGAAGCAGCGGCGTGTAAAAGAGTCTAGGAATGAGAATGCCCTTCAAGTTGCAAGAGAAGATGTGCGCACCCGAAAGATGCGGGATCGATTTATTGATAACCTCATCTATGACCACTTTCAGGTGATTAGCTTCTCCAAGGAGTTTGCCGTCTCATCGTTTCGCACCCCTAACCCAGAGACGGCGATTCGGCTACTGGATAAAGAGATCAACGACTTGCTCTCTTTCGATGCGGAAGAAGATGCAGCAGGCAGGTCGGTGGAAAACGACGGTACGAATGACAGCAAATCCCGGAGCAAAACTCCGGGCATGACAGATGAGGCAGGAAGTGCTGAAGTGGAAGACGCCCGTTTGGCCACAGCCGCAGGCATTAACGAGTGGCTGGCGACCGAAGAGAAACACCGGCAGGAACAACTGAAGCTAACGAGGGAGGAAAGTGGACTGCTGACCACAACTATGCGTCAGCACCTGGTCAAGATGGATGAACGTCGTGAGGAACGTAGGCGGCGGAAACAAGGGTACGAGAAGCTCCTGACGTATAAGCCAGACCCTGCGGCAGAGGCGGCGCAGTTGGAGGCAAAGATGCGACACGAGGTGGCACGTCGTGGGGAATGTGTTTTGCGAACGGATCCGTCATACAATTCGAAGCCGTCAGCTGTTTCGAAGCTGCACCAGTTGATTTGGGTCGAAAAGATTGTGCTGAGGCTGCGCAGCACCTTCACGAAGAAGCTGCTTCTTCTTCGCGATGAAAAGGCAACCTTGTGTAAGTCTTTGAATGTCTTCCTACGGCGCATACGGGAGATCAACCATGCATTGAAGGAGACAAACGCTCAGTCAGCGGATGTCCACTTGGCGCCGATTGAGAGGCCGGAGCAGCGCTTTGTCATTGACCACGAGGGCCTTGAAGCGTTTGCAAAGCAACGACATAAGGAAAAAATGCGTGAGGAGTTGGCAAGGAAGGCGCAGCGTGGGTTTGGTGCCGATCTTGTGGGAACGGAAGCCTCGGCAAACAACGATGGGACGGGAGCTTTGATGTCTGGCGAGGAGGGAGATAGTTTTAAAAAGGCCTCTAACCGCATGTCGATTACCGACCACCGCACAAGCCCGCTCCGGCGGCAGAGGAACCGCAACATGTCGCCGCCCCCAAGGTCTTCACGGGCTTACAACACGGCTGTTCTTGCTGCGGTGGCTGTACGGGAGCGAATGGACAACGAACTGCGTGCCAAGCTAGAGAATGTGAAGCTCACCGAGGTAGAGGAGGAGGAGCAGCAGATGGAACGAGAGCGGCTGATCGCTGAGCGCTACCGCCTTCAATGCCGTGTTGATTCCATGATGAAGTCATTCGACCAGCGCCTTTGGGAATTGCACGAGGAGCGTGTTAGTGTAGACGCAGATCTCTCTCTGGCGGATGCCCGCTCCCTACTCATGTTTAATGAGTACCAAATCCTGCTTGTCTTCCGGCATAAGGACCGCGAATTACGGCTACAGTACGAAGAGACGAAACGATCACGCGATCAACGAAATCAGGAGGTGACGGAGCTGCAGAAAGAGGTACAGGAGCAGGCGGGCGTAATTGAAAAGTTGCAGGAGACAAACAAGGCATTCCGTCATGAGGGAGAGTTCTTCATTGAGTCTCACTTTCCAGCAGAGCATGTGCCATACATTATCAAGGTGTTTTTGCGACAAATTAAGCGGCGTAAAAACCTTGGCGATGTCTCCGCAGACGATGATGATATCACAAGCGATGACGATGATGAAGACCTGAACGAGGAGGACCTATGGGAGGAAGTCTGCCCGCCCAACTGCTCGGGGGATCGTTGGCAGGAGGTGCTGGCGATGCGCGAGAAGCGGCTTGACTATGTTGACGCCATCGCGGGGGCACGACGGAAACAGGAGGAAATGCAGCGCTGCATCGAGGAACACAAGATTTTGGCGGAGAAACTCAACACGGCCTTGTCCTTGTCGCTGAAGGCGATTGAGGAATTTCAAGGTGAAAAACGCAAGGAGCTGAATATGCTGCAGACACTTGTGGCACTGCGATGTAGTCAAGTGAGGTGTCTTGAGGAAGAGAAGTGCCCCGACACCTTCCGTCGGGATGATCTTGTGGTCATTTCCGATCATGTGATGGCGAAGCTGCATCATCGCATTGAGGAAATGGCGGAGGAGAAACGGGACTGGCGGATGAAGTTGAAGGAAATGACGGCGGAGCTGCAGCGGCTGCAGCGTGAGCGGACGGTTAAAGAGGCGTTGCACGCCAAATGGAAGGAAAAAGTGTACGAGGCGATGATGCTGAAGTTTGGGTGCACCGTGAATCTGGAGCTGCTGGAGTCCACCACCAGCTGTCGGGAGGTGGAGGAGCTGAAGGAGCAGCTGCGCATAGAAGAGCTCTCCTGGGAGCGGGAGTTGCGAAAGCGTGAGAAGAAAATTACCGCTTTGCGGGAGACAATGCAGCGTCGACTCGTAGAGAACACACGCCTTTTGCACGAGCTGGGCGATCAGGAGAGCAGCCGGCAAGATGTGGAGCGGTCACTGTCATGTGCCACGCAGAAGGTGGTGAGCCGAATGTATGACGGCTCCAACGTCGCTACAGCGGAGGACCGGCGCAACCTCAAGTTACTTATCGCCGCGCAGCAGGAGGAGATTGACGCCCTGCGTGCGGAGGTTAGTCTGCTGCGCAGTAAGGTTGGACATCTCTACGCCCCCTCCGTTGCATTCACGACATGAGAAGGGAAGGCCGGGAACATAATATATGGGGATAAATGTGCACCCGTTCACGTCGTTCACGCACTCCCCCCCGACCCGCTCTTGTGGAGCAACCGTCCATGCACGACATTGTCTGCAGCATGCCAGGCATTAAATGCAACCTTTCGTATCACGCATCCACACATACTTCCTCGCACCACTTCATTCTTTGATGTATATACACTGCCACTAAACTAGAATGACACACATACACGCATACGGGAACGAACAGCAGAAGAGGGAAGAGAAAGAGATAAGGAAAGAAGGAGGAAAAGTGTTGTGTGGGTATGGAGAGGTGTGTAAATGTTTGCAGGGGAAGCTGATAGAAGAATACACGTTACATTTCCACCCACAGACCTTTTTGTTGTATCCTTCGCCATGTAAAGTTTTTTTGGATGTGCTGCGACGGCAGCGAGAGGGGCGGCGAGATTGATGGTGTTTTCTGCGCATTCACTCGGGTGCCAAACCGCCCGTTGTTATTATTATTATTGCCCACTGCGTCTCCCTCTGCTCTTCACCACCGCAAAACGCACACCGCAGCGAAGAAGGGATCGTTCAAGCAAATCAAGCGCTTAGGAAAATTAAGAAACAATAGGAGGAGGGAGTTAGACAAACAAAGACAACCGAACAACCGCAAAAGAAACAGACGTTCCCCCCCTCCCCTCCCCCCAGCCCGTTTGCTTCCCGGCACACACACGCACAAGCAATCGGAGTGCTACTCGAAATAAAAAGGGGTCAAAGAGAAAATACACATAAAAACAACAACAACAAGGGACTCGCGAGGAGGAAGAGCGAAGAGAGAGAAAATAAAAAGAAGGACACAAAACGGAAAAGAGCTGAGACCCCCAAGTAAGACAAATATAAGGTGGCGTTACATAAGAAAGACGTCATGTCTATTTTTGGTGCACCGCTTCCACATGAAGACGACACCGCGACGTCGCTTATCCGGCGTGAGGGTTATCCACCGATTGGCTCATACGAGCAAATTCCGGAGGTGTACGTGTGCCCCTGCTGTAGCAACATAAACCCCTCCCATGAACCTGACCACCTGTTGCGCACCGCAAAGGAGGAGAAGGAATTGGAGCGGCGTCGGCTCATGCAACTTGATATTTTTGAGGAGCGGGCGAAGCCCATCAGCATGGCTGTTCCTCGACCGCGCGCTATTCCCATTCATCAGGACACCGATGATGATCAACTTAACCAGCCGCTCGTGCCCCCACCTCCGATGACCCTGGAGGAGCTGCGGAAGATGCAACGGAAAATGAACAGGACGCGCCTCATTGTTACAGTGCATCATGGAAAGAATCTTGACCTTCATCCACTTGATCCGACATCCGTTCTCTTGCGTTGTGGAGCGCTTGAGGGACAGACGGCGAAGGTACCTCGTGGTAATGGGGTTCTTTCCACGTGGGAGGAGATTTTTGAGTTCTCTTACCCTAACGAAGAGGAGCCGCTTGAGCTACTCGTCATTGACGACGCTCTGCCCGCCGAGCAGGACCATGTCTTTGGCGGTATCGTTGTTCCGCCGTACGCATTACGCAATCGCGCTCGTGGTGATGAGGAGGTGCTACCAGTTTGTTCGCCGGATGAGATGCAACGCGGCTATGGCCGCATGAAGGAGACTCCTATGGGCTCTATTGTCGTCTCGTGGTATGTGAAGTCCGGTGCAGAGGAGGATGAGCCTACCAATGTGAATCAGAATCTTGAAAATCCTGTTGACTGCGTCTTCGTCGTTCACCGTATCTTCCAGTACACTGACAATGGAGCAGAGCCCTTCATGGACGGCGTCCTTTGCGTTCTGCGTGACGCAGACGATAATCTCTCTGCCTCAACCCAGTACCAGCCAAGTGGTGTGGCGAATATGTCAACGTCGCCGTATTATACAAAAGAGGGATTTAATTACCTCCCTGAACCAGCCTCGCAGACCATGCAGCTTATCACCGAAAAGAGGCTTGGAAACATCCTGCTCTGCGTTCCGAAGGCTCACGGAGAGGGCGGCGAAGATGAAGGACTACTGGTTGTTGGTGCTGTTTCACTTGATTTCGGGGAGTTGTACCACAAGGGCTCTGCCGTCCTGCTTGTTGAGTCAAGGGTGAAGGAGGATGCCTTGTGGGGTGAGATTGCGCTTGAGTGGCGTCTCACACCACATACGACGCTGCAAGAGGAGCTGGAACGGCTCCAATTGATTCACAAGAAGAAGTTGGAGCGGGGGGCCATGGGGCAACACGCGACAAAAACCCATGGGCCTCTCTTTGTCACTGTCGTGCGTGGCGTGAACCTTTCCGATCACGATGGAAACCCGCTGACCCAGGCACAAGTCTGTTTGTATGCCGGTCATATGGAAGGCTCGACATTTGTTGCATTCAACACGCTGGACGAGGACGGCATGACGAACATCATCAACTGGAACCAACAGATGCAGTTTATTGACTTGGATTATGACGAATCGGACATAAACGTGCACGTCCTTGACGGCAACGAGAGAATCAGCAGCGGCGAATTTGTCGCGGATAAGGAGAGGAGCTATGTTGTTGTACAAATGCACGACCCGTATGACGAGGATAAACTGATGGGTGAAATTCTGGTGAACTACAGACGTGTTTCCGCCGCCGATGACGCGGCACTCAGGAAGTCAGAAGACAACAGCGCTACCAACAACGTGAAGAGCGATGGGGAAGAACGCATCCTACTAAGCGAGGGAAGAGAAAGGTCTCTTGAGGTTCAAGATCACCAGAACGGTGACAGGGAAAGCCATCATGAAAATGTCAATGAGGAATACGGGGACCAGGCTCTAGCGCAAGAATACCCCGGAGAGGAGGAGCATTCAAAGAGAGGACCGTCTTCTGATCAGGCACGGGCTCAGGACTCCCCTGGAGACGAAAGGCATTCAAAGAGAGGACCGTCTTCTGATCAGGCACGGGCTCAGGACTCCCCTGGAGACGAAAGGCATTCAAAGAGAGGACCGTCTTCTGATCAGGCACGGGCTCAGGACTCCCCTGGAGACGAAAGACGTTCAAAGAGAGGACCATCTTCTGATCAGGCACAGGCCCACGAA